TTTTTTTTTTTTTTTTTTTTTTTTTTTTTTTTTTTTTTTTTTTTTTTTTTTTTTTTTTTTTTGCAGAATAGGGGGAGTTGTCCCTTTTTATGACAGCGAGGGCACAAGGCGAGTGAGAAGGCGGAATCGTCTCGGCAGCCGCTGCATTTTGTGTGGAAGCCGCTCGGGGGTTCATTAATATCATTAGCATTTAACCCCCTCCCTGCCCCCTCCCCTTGGCAGCGCGGGATGACGTCACGCGGCGGCAGGAGTTGGGGGGAAAGCGAGGGAAGCTCAGTGGGCAAGGGGCGTCCCTCTCCCCTCCCCGCCGCTGCCTGTCACAGCCTCTCTGCCGATATTATAGGGGCCGAAGCCTGGAGCTCAAAGCGCGAAGTCAGCCAGTGTAATGAACTTCTGGAAACCTTTCCCTTTTTATACCATTCAGTTTCTGAGAGGCAGAGACTGCCTCCTCTGACGCCTTTTCCCCCCTTCCATTATTTTTCCGGGCTCTGATCTCCCTGCTTGCTGCACCGAGACGCTCGGCGCAGAGCCCCGCTCCCTATCCTACCTTCTCCTTCGCCTCATTGTTGTCCTGGCTGCTGTGGCTCTCGCTTGCCTTCCAGGAGCGCAGTGGCGAGCACAGTCGCACCCCCAGAACCCTCCCAGGGTCCCGAGAGCACCTACTCGCAGAGGGGCAGCCAGCGGCCGCCGACTTTGGGTCACTTCGTTGTTTTTTTTCTTTTTACTTTTTTTTTTTTTTTTTAAATTTTGCTCCACTTTTCTCTTTCCCCCACCCTTTCCGCGTCCCCGCAGCGTGTCCCCGTCCCTCGGGAGGACATCGCTGGGGGAGCGGGGCTGCGGCGAGGATGTGCCGGCCCCCGCGGCGGAGCCAGCAGTGAGCACCCAAGGGAGGCACCTGCCCCGCGGAGCAGGGGGGCCCCTGGGGGGCCCGCACCGCCTCGCCCCGGCGCCGACACTTCGCCCCGAGTTTAACGACACGCGGGGGCTTCGAGCATGAGCAAGCCGGCGGGATCAACAAGTGGGTAATAACGCGGTGGAGGCTTCGAGCAGCCTTTCCGAGGCCGGCTGCAGCCTGGCCTGGGGGGCGGGAGGTGGAGGGGAGGGAGAGGAAGGGGAGGGGGGGTTGTGGCTTGGGTTTGCACCCCCCCACACCCCGCGCCCAATTGAAAAACAAGTGTATATTTCCAACCGGAATGGCAACGAATATATAGGCTCGGGGTTGCCCCGATTGAGTTTGGGCCTGGGGCTTGAGAAAAGCCGTTTTCCAGCTGCGTGCTTTGGCTTTCCGTGCTGGGAACCGGGGCAGAAGCCCGTGGGCAGCGAGCCCCCAGGAAGGCGGCTCCGCCGACGGCGAGGAGGGGGCTGGTCCCTCCGGGACGCGGGCAGTTGAGTGCAGGTCTCGGGTACTGGGGTGGAGGGGTAAGGTTTGGGTTTAAAAGGCATTTCGGCGTTTAAACGTGCTGGTTTTCTCACGGACTTTATGCAATCTTCTGCGACATAATAATTTCTTTTTAAGAGTTTGAAACTCCGGTCACTCAATTACACGGAATCGCGTAAGCAACTCGGTCGAAGGAGGATTTAAATACAATACTTTGCACACCATTCCCAGTTACAACAAATAATCCTGCAACGAGGAAAGCAGAAACAACTTAAAAGTCACATTTTCCTTAATCCTAAATCCATGCACCTCATAACTGGGGAATTTAAAGCATGACTAACCGCTCTTACAGAATGGCTCAATCCGTATAATCCCAATGGGACTTTCGGAGTTTGTAATATGGATGGAGTCAGTAACAAAGGGGGAAAAAATACCCAATCCAATTTAATGTCTGACAAGTGATGGATCGGACAGCTATTTCCTCTGCGCTCCGACAGGCTCCTGGGATTGCGGAGCGGCGGCCAAGGGAGGCAAAGCTCCCTCCCGCCGCGGTACCTGCCACCGGCCGCCCCCCGCCAGCCCCGCGGCCTTCTCCTCGCCGCTGCCCTCCATTACTTTGACCCGAGTCCGCCCTTTGTCCGCGGGGGCCGGGAAGTCGGGGAGGAGGGGGGGGGCGCGGCGGCAGGGCCGGGGGTGGCCGGGGGCCGCTCCGGCTCGGAGGGCACGCGTGGAGGAGGCGGGCGGGCGGCGCGGAGCCCCCGGCGCTGGGGCCGAGCTGCCGCCGCTTCGGCCTCGCTGGTTTCTCGTCGTCCTCCTGTGTGGGGATGAGAGCGGCATCGTTTTGCCCCAGCCGCTCGGGGGAGGAAATAAAATTCTAGTAGAGGTGCTGAGGTACCAAGCGGGGAAGGGGACGGGGGCTCAAAGACCTTCGGCAGCCGGGGCTGCTTCGGGCGACTGTGCTCCCCAGGCTGCCCGGGCAGTGCGAGGCAGCCGGATCGGGATCGGGCCCGTGGGCAACCGCGCCGAGACGATTTCGGGGCTCCTGGCAGGTTTCTTGAGTGATGAGGAAGGGGCAGGAAGGACCGCGGAGTCTCGTCCTAAAAGGGCGGCGGAGCTTCTGCCGGAGACATTTTGCGGAGGTGAAAACCCGCCAGGCTGGATCGCGCCTCCGGCCCCACGGCGCTGAGCGACCCCCGGCCACCGCCACCTCTTTCACTGATGACCCCCTGACCCCTGGGGACCGCCCGAAAGGGACCCCCGGGCCTGACTCAATCAGACCCCACGGGAATGGGGACACTCTGGGTCTGCTCAACGCCGGGGCCCGAGCCCAGCCGGCCTCGGCAGCGTAGGCAAAAGCCCGAGTAGATGTCCCAGGGCTGGGCGCTCGTTCCGGGGGTCCTGAGGGGCTCCGGACAAGGGGGCTGCGTCTTGGCTTTTCTGCCCGCCGGTGGGCGCCCAGTGATGTCAGCTGCGATGTCTGCCTGGGTGGTAACAAGACCCCATCCCGCCGTCCCCCGAGCCCAGACTAACTTCTTTCAACAGCCTCTGATGGTAATTACAGTAATCGGGGCTGCCATATATCCTTTAAGCAATTATGACACACAAAAAAAGCCCCCAAGGACCCCCTGTCGTGGGATGTTCAAAACGGTTTCCCTGCTGAACAGAAATCCCATTTTCTTAGCGCTAAAACTTCTGAGACGAAGCGGTACCTCGGGGAAACGGAGCGCTTTTAAACAGAGTTAATCAGTTATCGCATGACCTCGTGTCAAGCTTACATTTTTCCCTTCCCACCCCCCGCCCTGCCTCTTACCCGTCTACTTATTTCATATTTTGCCCTGCACGAAAGTTTTCTCATAACAGCCCCCGCGGGGCAGGGCTGGGAATTCGGGGGTGTGCAGGGGGGTGTGCAGAGCGCGGCCGGGCGGGCGGCGGGACGGGGCGGCCCCGCAAACGCCCGACGCGGGGGGCTCCAGCCGCTCCCTCCGCCGTGGCCCCCTCCCCGTCCAGCGCCTCCCGAGGGCCGCGGAGCTGAGTGGACCGGGCCCGCTGCTCCGGCGGCTGGAAACGTGGTTATGTAGGTTTGGTGAGATGCTCCAGGTGCTCGCGATTTATAGCGGGAATATGGGGACGCGTAAGGAATATACGGGCCATATGTTTACATGCATTGTGTGGATACGTACATACAGAATGCATAGGTTTGTTTTTTTCTTTCAAAGTGGCTCCCAAACTTGAATCTGTGTGGGGAAAACTAACACAAGTTTCTTCCGTGTCCACTGGCCGACTTTAGCTCCGGCAGAGCAGAGCCGGCCGCCCCGCACCGCAGGCCGGCCGAGGAAGCAAGGACCCCGTAGCTGCCCGGTGTCCCGGGGGGTGGCGGTCACACGGCGGGTCCGGGTGCGCGGCCGAAGCCGGCCCCGCTGCCGCGGGAAGGGGAGCGGACGGGGCCGTGGAGCCAGGAGCGGCGGTGGGACGGGGTGCGCGGGGCAGCGCAGCAGTGCCGGGCTCGGCACCGGGATGCAGCACCGCTGCACGTACCGCTTCAGTGTCTCTCCCCCACCCCCAGCCTGCCCCTCCTCCTCCTCCTTTGTGTGCGTGCGTGTGGATCCTCTCTCTCCCCGTGGATGCTAAGGACTGGAGAGGGAAGTCGGGCGCTTTCCCCCGTTTGCATTGTGCGATATCCGAATTCCCATGCTACACTTTTTGACGGGTCACTGGTGCCCCAATAGGCAGGTGGCAAGGAGGGCTTGTAATTACACACTCCCAGAAACCGTGCCTTGGCCTCAGCCCTCCTCACGGGCGCCTACCTGCAGCTCCAAAGCCGCGGTTTGCTCGCAGGCAGTGGTGCGGGGGGGCATCCTTCAGCTGCGCTCCTTATTAATTGCGCAAAAGTTTTCTATTCTTTAACCTCTCTCCCCCCCTCCCACCTTCCCTCCCTCCGCCACCCCTCCCTCTCGCAGTCCCTAACCTAATCCCCGTCCCTCTCGCCGTGTTGTGTATAGCAGCTGTCGGGTTTCATTTAGGGGAGAAGCTGGCAGCTTGTGCTCATTGGAGGCAGTCAAACGAGTTTCAATGGGCAAAATCATTAAGTTAACACTTTATCTAATGTCCCTATTGTCTGCCAGCAGGCATTGTCTTAGAGCCTTAGCGCAGACATGTCTGAAAGTATCTCGGACTCCTAAATTCTCTAGGGAGCGAGAGGAGCCCCTGCAGCCACTTTCCATTGCCCCCCTCCCGCCCCTCAGAACCGCTCCGCACGCTGCCGCTTTTCCCCCTCCAGCCTTCATCCTCACCCACCCGTAGTCGGGGCTCTCCCAAACCTACTTCCAAACAAATACAGTGGCCCCAAGAGCCCTCCATTAGAGTTTGGAGACCAAGTTTTGGAGAGAGGAAATGAATTTCTAACTTAAGTTCTGGTAAGAGAGAAGAAGGCTGTTTGAGGCAGAGGAAAAA